GACAGTTGTCAAGTGAGTTTCCCCGTTTGACCTTTCTTGCCACAGATGTTAAGCGAATCACTGCAGTTGTTGTTAAGTGAATCCGGCTTCCCCCTTGACTTTGCTCGTCAGACAGTCGCTAAAGGGGATCAAGTGACCCCCGGGACTACCGTGACCGTCATAAATAGGAAACAGTTGCCCGGCATTTAAATTTTGATCACGAGGAGGCTACCACGGTCATAAAGTGTGAAAAATGGTCATAAGTCCCTCTTTTTTCTAGTGCCGTCGTAACTTTGAGCGGTCACTAAATTAATTTTTGCAAGATGAAGAATTGCCTGTATAATTCCACACAAATGGCCCTCCAATCTCTTCTTAAAAACCTCCAGTGTTGGAACACCCACAACCTCTAGTGACAAGCAGTTCCACTGGTTAATTTCCCTCACAGACAGGAAATTTCTTCTTAGTTCTAGGTTGTTTGTTGTAAGTCAACTGCCTATATTTTATTGATTGATTGATTGATTAATTAAAATAATATTGCTGTCCACCTCGCTATCACAAATGACTCAGTCTTGTTTTAGCACAAAATAAATCGATGCATCCCTCCAAAAAGAGCTTTTTTCCATTCTTGGTCCTCCTCAAACAAGGGGTGTAAAAAACATTTTGGGGGGCGTGGGAGAAGAGATAATGGAGAGCTGCAATGAGCAACTTATTTGTAGCACCAAAATGGTGAATCACAAATTTATTCTTGGTGTGTTTGTATGTGTGTGTGTGTGTGTGTGAGAGAGGGAGAGAATTGGTTGTCTAAGGTTTAAAGAGATTTAAGACTTTTGATTTTAATGCATTTAGCTTAAACAAAAGATATACAGGTAGTTCTTGACTTACAATAGTTCATTTAGTGACGGTTTGCAGTTGCAACGGCACTGAAATAAGTGATTCATGACGTTTTTCCACACTTACGACCAATGCAGCCTGATGCATGGTCACCTGATCAAAATTCAGATGCCTGAAAACTGACTCGTATTTATGACGGTAACGGCGTCCTGGAGCCAGATATCCCTTTTTGCGACCTTTGGACAAGCGAATCCAATGGGGAAACCGGATTCACTTAACAACTGTGGGACTAACTTAACAACTGCAGCGATTCACTTAACAACCGGGGCATGAAAGATGGCAAAATGGGGCCCAACTCACTTAACAAATGTCTCGCTTAGCAATGGAAATTTGGGGCTCAATTCTGGTCGTAGGTCAAGGACTATCTGTATAAACACTCATTTAGCAATCGTTCAAAATTAGAACATCACTGAAAAACATGACTTGTATTTACGACGATCCTGATTCTTACGTCCACATTTGCATCGTCACATGACCAAAATTCAGATCCTTGTCAACTGGCATGTTAGATATGACAGTCACAGCATCCCGGAGGTAACATGACCGCTATTTGCAAGCTTCCCAGCCAGAGTTCAACAAAGGAAATCAATGGGAAAGCTTAGCGAGGACATGATTTACTTAACAACCAGAGTGATTCACTTAGCAACCGCGGCTGAAAAGGTCATTAAAATGGGGGTTGGCACACTTCACATCCGCCCAACTTAGCAACAGAAGTTCTAGTTCCCATTGTGGTCATAAGTCGAGGACTTTTGCCAAAACTCAGGGGCAAAATTCCCATCTTAAAAATGAGCTGCGTTAAAAGATTGATAGGCCGCAAATGGGGAGACCATTTTGGCTGGGGAATTCTGGGAGTTGAAGTCCACGTGTCTTTTTTTTTTTTTTCAGTCAAAATTGTTTATGAAATTGTATAGAGTATTATAAAATACAAAAGGAAGTAGAACAAAATTAAATACAAAAGTAAATAGAACAAAATAGAACAAAAGTAAATAGGAACAGAAGTTGCCTTTTGGAAATTGTGGGAGCTTCATCATTGGAGGCTTTCAAGAAGAGACTGGGCTGCCATCTGTCAGAAACAGTGTCTCCTGCTTTGCCGGGGGGTTGGACTAGATGACCTATAAGGTCCCTTCCAACTATAAATCTGTAAATAGAAAAACAATGGGAGGGGCAGGGGAAAGGGGGAAGCAAAGTAAGGAAAGATAGGGAGGAAGGGGAAAAAAGCACTGACTTCCGACTCTTATCTTGTTCTCATTTAGATTATAATCTAAATTTTAAACCCTTCGTCCACATATTTTCCCATTGTTCAAGCATCACGTTAACTCCAACATTCCTTGCCCACTGAATCGTACAATATTTTTTTACATGTTCATTTTCCAAATTCAATTTCAATAGCATTTTTTAAAAACTTAGTAATAATATGTTCATCATTGCCACATATTGAATGTTCCCATTCATTTTTAACAAAGTCAAATCCATAGCACTTTTTATCCAAGTCCACGGTTATCTTAAAGCTGCCAAAGTTGAGAAACCCTGGATTAAATGATCTTTCTATTCCCTCTCCATCGCCACAATTCTGTGCTTTTGTGAATTAGGCTGGGTTCCCACAACCGGCTAAATTCAAACCAGCGATTAACAAAGCTGAATTGCTGTACGCAGATAACAAGGCAACGAATAAACCAGTTTAAGGCTTATTAGGGTGGTAGAAGAAGCTGAGATAATGGCTGGGACTTCACAAAAAATGACCCCATTTTATTTTTTGCTTAATCTCCTATCCTGAGGGTTCCGCTCTATAAAGTTTATGTTCTCCACAAATATTCCCTACATTTTTTAGACAGACAGGGTTACAGTTCGCAAAGGGACGATATTTGGAAAATAACATTATATATATATATATCTCCGCAAAAACTTAAGAAATATATATATCTCCGCAAAAACTTAAGAAATATATATATACATACACACACACACACACACACACACACACACACACACACAAACTTAAGTTTTCGCGGGTACTTACCTGTATGGTATTTAGCTTTGTTCGGGTATTTTCCCACATCATTATAGTTGTGCTTTTAAAGTTGTAGCAACGTTTCGGCAGAATCTCATCTGCCATCATCAGGCTTCTGTATTCACAATACGAACACGATGCAGAAGCCTGATGATGGCAGATGAGATTCTGCCGAAACGTTGCTACATCTTTAAAAGCACAACTATAATGACATTGGAAAATACCTGAACAAAGCTGAATACCATACATACATACACACACACACACACACACACACACACACACATAGACTTTCCAGCACAATTGAGCCCAAATTTTATGTTGTTCCTCGAGGCATACGTTAAGTCATTTTATATACCTTTTAACCCATTTTTACGAACTTTCTTATCATGGTTATTAAATGAATCATTGCAGTTGTTAAGTTAGCAACACAGTTCTTAAGCGAATCTGGCTTCCCGATTGACTTTGCTTGTCAGAAGGCCCCCAAAAGAGGATCACATGAACATGGGACACTGCAACTGTCGTAAATATGAATCAATTTACCAAGTGTCTGAATTTTCAGCAGGTGACCATGGTGATGTTGCAATGGTCTTAAATGTGAAAAATGGTCGTAAGTCCCTTGTTTCAGTGCCACTGTAATTTTGAACAGCCACTAACGGGCCTCTTCTTCTTCTTTGTCGTTTAACAACCCCATAATCCCTTGCGGGGTGGAGTCGGGGCAACTGAATGGAACTGAGTGTTTTCTGGCCGGATGCGCTTCCTGTCACCAAGGCAGAGTTTTGTTCAGCAGATATATTCTCATTGTGTACCCAGAGAGAGAAATATCTCTCTCTACCTAGGATCGAACTCACTGCCTCCTGATTGTGAGGCGAGAGCTCCGCTTCTAGGCCATCATGCCATTTTATTGTAAGTCAAGGACTACCCTGTACAAATGAATTTACATACCACTAGTCCTTGACTTGTGACTGCAAATGAACCCAAAATTTCCATTGCTGAGCGAGAAGGTTGTTAAGTGAGTTTTGTCCTTCTACAGCCTTTCTTGCCAGACTTGTTAAGTGAATCCCTGCAGTTGTTAAGTGAATCACATGCTTGCTAAGTGAATCCAGCTTCCCCCGTTGCTCATCAGAAGACATCTAGGAAGTTGATCATATGATCCAAGACAGTGCAACCATATTAAGTACATGCCAGTTGCCAAGCCCCCGGGTTTTGATCACATGACCATGGGACTGTGGCAACGGTCCTAGGTGTGAGAAACACTCTTGTTGTCATTGTAACTTGAATGGTCACTAAAACGAATGGTTGTAAGTTGAGGCCTACCCGTATCTCAGCTTTCCCCCAAAGCCATCAGAATTCTCATTTTCCAGACGAAATTCCTTATCAAAATCCTGTAGCCCAATGGATTTGGGTTGAAAACATTAAATAACAACAACAACAAAGTTGACAAGACCTGTAAAATGTAACTATGAAACATGATCATATTTTCCCAAATTTTTCAATACCCGTGGGAAGGCTCTTCATCAACTTATGCCGGGACGAATGACCAAGGTTGGAACAGATGCGAATGGTTAGATTTTGATCCCGAAACACTTGGACGCTTGTTTGATCAATGATTTCGGCTCCTGTTGCGGAACGAAATTGTGATGTGAATCCATAACATGTTTTGAAAATGAAAGAAAAGGGCTCAGTAGCTCCAGATCTGAGATTGAGGACCAACCTGAAAGTTTCAGGAGCAAACGTTAGTTACGATGCTCCTAGCAAAGGTGGCCTGCGTTGACCATCTTGAAGTGATTCTTTGAAGGTAAAGGAGGACCTTAAGAGGAGAGGACCTTCTTTCTCCATTGACTCAACACTTTCTCCATCAATTATTTGAACGTCATGGGGCGGGGCTCACCATAGGAGGACAAATTTTAGACAGAACTTTCCCCATTGACCCTATACTTTTTCCATCAATTCTTTGAACATCATGGCCACCTTAGGAGGAAACGTTTAGGAAGGACTTCTTTCTCTATTGACCCAACACTTACTTCATCAATTCTTGGAATGTCATGGAGGGCCACCTCAGAAGGCGAGTCTTCAGAAAGGACCTTCTTTCCTCATTGACCCAAAACTTTCTCCACCCCAGGGCTGCAGATGCTCGTCTGAAGGCGGCCTCTGCCCTCGGGGCAGCCGAAAAGGCTCTCGAAGCTTCCCGTTTGGCCAAAATTTTGGCTCAAGAACTACAGCCCATTCTAGCTGACTCAGGTGAGATGTTTGCATGATGGCTCTTCTCTCCAGAAGTAAAAAATGTTCTACCTCCTTCGAAATTCAGCCCTGGAGAACGGGATGGTGGTCGTCCTTTTTTTGGCAGGGGTGGCGGCAAAGGCCCAAGAAATCAAAGGGTGTTTGGCGCATAGTCTCGTCTCCTGAAACATGACACATCCCTCTGCTCTCCTTCTCAGAGGGTTCACAAGTCCTCAGTTCCCTTCTTAACCCAATGGTGCATTCCTGGGATCAATAATTTGTCTGAAATGTTATAGAGCCGCGATGGCAAACCTATGGCACGTATGCCATAGGTGGCACACAGAGCCATTTGTGCCAGCGCAAACTTACCTCACTGCGCATGTGAGTGCCTCACAGCTGATTTTCGGCTTGCCAAAGGCTTGAGGAAGGCTTCTGCAGGCTTCTGCAAGCTTTGTAGGCCGAAAACTAGCCCCGTTTTGTCACTCCTGGTATTTTTGGAAAAACAAGGAAATAATGAAATGGGGTTAGTTTTTGGCCTACAAAGCTTGCGGAAGCCTGCAGAAGCCTTCCTCAAGCCTTTGGGAGGCCAAAAAAGGCCTCAAACTGGCTGAAAATGAGGCGCAGTGCAGGTAAGGGGGCAGTGGAGGTAGGTGGGTGGGTAGGGGATTGCACACGCATGTGTAGGAGGCATGGGGAAGTGTGCATTGCCTTCTGGGTACTGGCGCGCAAGCGTGCAAGTGCACCCACAATTTTTGGGACAGGAGCCCAAAAAAGGTAAGCCACCATGGTTATAGGGTTTCCTGCTTTTAGCAGAGGCTGGACTAGAAGACCTCCAGGTGTCCTTCCAACTCTGTTATTATGTCATAAAGCGCCATGTATGTTACATTAATGTTCTTGTAGAAGAGCATTTTTTCAACCTTAGTCCCTTGAAGATAGGTGGACTTCGACTCCCAGAATTCCCCAGCT